CCATGTGGCTGAAGGCACTATGTGCTGGGGCCTCCATGTGGCCGAAGGCTCTATGTGACGGGGCCTCCATGTGGCCGAAGGCTCTTTGTGCCAGGGGTCTCCATGTGCCGAAGGCTCTATGTGTCGGGGCCTCCATGTGGCCGAAGGCACTATGTGTCAAAGGCCTGTATTTCGAGTCTTGTTCTCCTGTGATGTTTCTGGACTTGATTTCATGAATGCTAAGCCTTCGGGCATGGGGCCGAAGGCTCCCCCCTTGCGTATTATGGGCTGTCTGGAGTCTTGTTTGCTGGGCTTGGCCCATTTGGACCGGTTGGGCCTGATTGTAGTAGTGGAAGTATGTGGGCGGGGGGTTCCTGGGCCATATACTCCATCATAGGTAAAAGCCGAGAGTGCACATTCAGAAGTTCCAGACATTATTAAACAAATGATCGATCACTTTCTTCTATAAAAGTCTCAATTCTGAACTGGAGATCGCTCCCAGATGCTTCCTACTATGGATGTGTATCATTAAAGATGAGTGTCCTTTTGTGTGCAAGCAGGGCTGAATATGCAATATCTATACATTTTTTTGTAAACTACATATTAATGAAGCAGCTTATGAGAGATCTAATGTATTGCTTATTTGTTGCAGTGTATCGAAGAACACCTCCGTCTGACTATTAATCATATATGTTATTTATTATGTGCTCGATATTAGCACATGAGTTTTTTTATAGAGACCTTGCTTACATTAGAAAACAATGGGTAGTTTTAGTTTCTCTGAGACTTTATATTATGGAGAATTGGAGATAATAAATATTGCACTAGAAAAACAAAACAAAAATACAAATGATAAGGCTATTAGCTCAAATGGTAGAGCAGTGTGAATATATACACATATGTGAGGGTTCAAATTCCTCATAGCCTACACTATGATATACCTATCTATTTTGTGTGATTATTTTGTACTTCGTATATCATAAATGTCATTAGATGTGTATAAGTGCATTGCATTTGCAGCTACTTGAACTGGCAGTTTGATACTCTGAGAGCTAGTGAAGAAAGGGCTTATGTCTAAACAGAATGATGAATATATTGGAGATTTATCGTGATGGTAAAACTTATCAAGAAAGAGAGATCATTTATTGAGAGCAAATAGGAATTATATTGAAAACAAAACATGAGAGAGTTGGATTTGGAAGTTGCAGATGCAGAAAATGCAACATTTAATTGAACATTCATGTGCAATACTGATATGGGAAGAACAATAGAAAAACCGATAAACAACGAAAGTTTAGGCGAAGTAATATGAGATCTATGAGTACTAATGTAGAGTTTCGGTCTCTAGCAAAATTGTTACATATTACTTCCTATTTCAACCTAAAAGGGCCCTTTAATTTTAAAATTTTAAGGGCAATACAATCAACTCTATTTGCAACAACAAAAATATAATCAATTAACAAAATTTATGCTTCTTTCAAAAAAAAATTGCTTCTTAACAGAATGACATTTATGAAATGTTTAACTCTTTTCTTCTTAGCTTAAGTGGTGTTGTCCTTGTCAATTTCTTCTTTTTAGTGTTGAGTGTCAACTTGTGTATATCACCGCCAAGCAACTTCTAGAATAACTTCATTGTTAGCACCATTGTCATCTTCATTTTGTTCCTCAATGTTTTCTTTAATCTTCTACAATAAAGATGAATGTACATACATACTATCGTATAACTAATAGATACAAGATAGTAACTTCTAAAACTAAATTCATAACTTTTCATTAACATTAGCTGAAAACATCAAAATCATTAGTTATATAATTTATGCTACAATAAATAAATTTTATTATAAAGATTTTGCATTTCTATTAAAAGTTATATTTTTAATGTCAGGAGTTGTACTGTTCCTACAAGCAAGTGCTTGATCAATTGTGACCTTTGTTTTTATGTTATGAGTTATGTTTCTATGCTAAAAGTTGTTCAATAGATCAAACTATTAATCAATCATACATGGTACTCACTAACCACCATTATATTTTAACACACAGAATCTAATTTAGAGTGAAAACTGAAATAAAAAAAGAAACGAGAGCATTCAAAACAATGTGATTTTAAAATAAATTATGGAAAAAAACATAACTTTTAAGTAAATATTCATTACTTTTAATAAAACATTCACTATTTTTAACATAAGTAGATGCACTCCCACCCGTAACTGTTAATCCTTACCAATAGAGATGTGTTTAATTACAGCCTATAGTTTTGTTTAGAGAGGTTTAAGATAATATTACTTTTACTCAAAATACTACCACTTATAATCCTAAAAAAGTAACTTTTAAACTCAAAAGCTTAACTTTTGCTTAAACTCCCAAGACCTCTAAACCCATGAATACAACTTGTAACAAAAAATCATGACTTTTGAACCAAGAGGGTTAACTTCATATATGTACTATGATTAAGTTTTTTTAATCAAAATGTTTCAGAACACATAGGGATATACTAATATGCCCATGGAAGTAACTTCTATGAAATAAATCATAACTTATAGCTTAACCACTCTAAATAAAAAATAGAGCTCCATGATGATTAAATAAAACAGTGTGAGATTACCAAGAAAACAATCAGTAGCAAAAACATATATACCATGGAAGTTCTAAGGGAAATTAACGAGAAAAGAGAAACTAAAAATGTGATTAACAACAAGAGTAATTATAACTTAAGCACTACATCAAATACAGAAGTTTGAGATTACACATATAACAATTTGTAGCTGCAGCAACTAGTTTCTCGATCAGACATTATCCAAACACATTAGGCATATACTTATAAAACCGAGAAAAGAACTTGTAACCAATAAACAATAACTTATACCTTAAATTTGATGCACATTAACACCATCACCATTATAACATTTCATTGAATAGCTGAGGGGCATGACTAAAGTTCTGAAACAACAATCAATTGGAGAGAGGGCATGAACTCAATATCTATATTGACAAACAATTGGCACACTTAGAGTAAGTCTGCATTACAAAATCATCATTTACTAATCTTATCTAAACCATAATTGATGAGCTCAAGATCGCAGGGGGATAATTTAAAAAAAAATATATCAAGGTTTACCTACCAGGATACAAACATGGATATGATTTAAATTAAGAAGATTAATTTAAAATTATGCAGTGATGTTAGGAAAGGGGATCGAGAGAATCAAATATTATAGATTAGTCTATGCGAACATAATTTAGCTCATCCCCGTGAATCGTTGAAGATTTAACATTAGATTAGGTATAGAATTCCAATATCAATCATAAACAAATCACAAGTATTGAGGGAGAGATTACAGCAAACGATCCACACCGCTCGTAAATCTTCTTGTTTTATTTGAAGATTAAATCCATGAAAATCACATGAATTTTTCCAATTTTATTACTCCGTATAATCGTCTTGAACAAATCTGGATGAAATATATAAGTTCCTAAATCAACATCCTGGAATGCATTTTGAAATAGGATGCAACAAGTTTAAGAATCGAGTCGAAGTTCGTTGAATTTCGTAGAAATACCTTAGAAGATGCAAGCCGAAGTTCGTCGCAGTTTGTAGAAATTCGTCGAAGTTCGTAGAAGTCCGATTTAAATTCATTAAAGCCCGACTCTAGTTCATTGAAGTCCGATTCAAGTCACTCCGTTGAAGTGATTTCGAGAGAGTTTGAAGAAATTCTGAACGAACTAGACTAGATTATGGAGTAGTTGTGCCGAACCAGAATTCGCGGCTCCAAAACTGACGTGGCTATTACAAGTTTATCTTTGCTTTCAAAATTCATCAATAGATTACTTCTAATCAGACGATCATGATCAGTTCTCACTTTTCAGCCTTACAAGCTTCTCATCAGATCCATTCCCTATATATATATATATATATATATATATATATATATATATATATATATATATATATATATATATATATATATATATATATATATATATATATATATATATATATATATATATATATATATATATATATATATATATATATATGGAATGGATCCATTCCCTTGGGCTGAGAAGCTGCGAAGTCTAACTTATAAGAAAAAACACGAACTTTTAACCAAAAAATCATAACTCATAGACCCCCTCAAAAACACGAACTTTCTGCAAAAAAACATTCCAGGTTTCTGAAGTTATTTTGACGCGGTGGCATTTTCGTAATTTTTTGGAGGGGGTCTATAAGTTATGATTTATTGGTTAAAAGTTCGTGTTTTGAGCTTATAAGTTAGACTTCACAGCTTCTCAGCCTAAGGTGGACTTCTCACATGATCTTTTCTCTCTCTCTCTCTCTCTCTCTCTCTCTCTCTCTCTCTATATATATATATATATATATATATATATATATATATATATATATATATATATATATATATATATATATATATATATATATATAAATCAATTAGTAAATGTAAATATACAGGTCTAAATGCAAATAATAAATAAATTAGTATTTATATACGCATATATATATATATATGCGTATATAAATACTAATTTATTTATTATTTGCATTTAGACCTGTATATTTACATTTACTAATTGATTTTTATATATACTTATAATTCATTATGTTTTGATTTAATTTTTTTAGTTGTTAACAACTAGCTCAACTAATATAATATCTACCTGTATACATAAAGATTAAACTTTGCGCATGAACTTTAAGTTTTGGATATATTTTCTCATGATTATTTTTGTGAGTTGTTTTTTGTATATAGGTAGTGAGTAACCTATAAACATTTAAGCGTATTAACAGTTTTAAAAATGTTGTAATATTATTTTAAGAGTTAAAACTGTTTATACGATTTTGAAAATTTTAAAGTAGACTACCCGATCTGCTCTTGCGGGCAGTTATGAACATGTGGTTAGACCCGTTTTTCACGGGCCGGATCAGGCTCAGCCACACCAATGGTAGAATTTTTAGTAAAAGTCCAGCCGAGCCCATTTTTGTGCAGGTGTAATTTGGGTATCTTGGGGTGGTTAATTCGTTAGTGGGCCGAACATTAAAAAAACACAGACTAGATTCTAGAAGCGTCTCGCGTTTTGCAAAACAACCTTCATTTCTCGAATTTCCTAGGGTTTATTTCCCCCCAACCAAAAACTATCTCAGGAACAACACTAACCAGTCTCCGGCGATTCATTTCTCGAATTCTATATTAAAGTATTCAAAGGTATTGTTGCCGTCCTCTGTTTCTCTTTGTTATTGAACGGAAAAAGCGTTGAACTTTACGTGTTTTTTTAGTTTGAATTCCTGTCCAATAGGAATGGCGTCAATTCAGCTAACCGCGTCAACTCTTTCCGCCAAGGGGTTTGTTTCATTTGACGGGATTCGGAAAACCGGAAAGTTAGCATCTTTTGCGCCGTCCAGGCCGAGCACAAGCAACTCATTCCGGTCTCTCGTGGTCAGGGCCGCCACCGCCGTTGCACCTAAGGTATCAGTTAGATTTGCTTGAACTTCGGTTCTTTTTTTTTCACGCTGTAATAAGATTTGATTGAACATAGTAGGTGCTGGACTGCTCGTTTGGTTCCCTATTAAAAATTGTAAAACTCTTTACTTTAGTTGTATAAGGCTGACCGGCTGACTACTGTTATTCATTTAAAATTATTTGTAATGCATAATTTTATAATATTGATTTCTCACATAGATTGAATTGGATTATTTGAATCGTAAGTGGTAAGAGCGTCTTTTCATATTTCAAGAAATGCCTCCGACAACCTGCTAGTTATAATATATTAAGTGGTTGAATTGGATTCTATTAGTTTTATTATTGTTTTTTTTTTATATTTAATTGCTTTATGCAGTATACTTCACTCAAGCCTCTAGCTGATAGAGTGCTGGTCAAGATAAAGACAGCAGAGGAGAAGACAGTTGGGGGCATACTTCTTCCAACTTCAGCACAATCAAAACCACAAGGTGGTGAGGTTGTTGCTGTTGGAGAGGGCCGGACAATTGGAAAGACCAAAGTTGACATAAGCTTGAAGGTTAACATTGAATATATGATCTAATGCAGCAGCCTTCTGAAGGGAAAATGTTTGCTATTTCTTTCAATACTCTTTCCATTCATTTTAGTTAGCTCCTTTTCCATTTTGGGATTTTTTTTTATTTGACACGATTTCATATTTTGAAACTTTAACCCCACTTCTCTTTCTCTTTTCTACATTTTCCACTTCTCCTTTTTTCTACTATCAACTTTTTCAACCCTAGTTATTATTCCATACTATTTTTCTTAGAGCATGTTTGGTAGGCATAAGTTACTGACTTCCCGCTTTGTACTATTTAAAATATCTCTTAAAGCTCTTGGTTGGATGTTTGGCACAAATTTTTTCATGAGCTAGCTGTTTGTTGCTTGTAGCATTAATTAGTCATATCAGCTTGTTATACCAAACAAAACTACGTTAAATAGTCACCTTTAAGTTTATCTTTTCAGCTACTTGTGCCAAATGTACATTTGATCTCTGTAAATACCCTTGCCAACTATTGTAGAATGAAGAGACTACTATTTAGTCTTTTTAGACTTGATATAATATAAATCAATCAATAAATAAATAGAAAAAAGGGCTTGTTATTAAGTATATAAAAAAATTTAAAAAGTTTAAAAAGTTTGAGCAATTTTGTCATTTCTGTTTGAGCTTATCATTTCTTCTTCTACTAGTTTTTCTCTGTTTTCTTTTCTTGATATTTTCTGAGCTATAAACTTCTGTGTGCTAAGAATTTTTAACTATGTACAGACTGGAACAAAGGTTGTGTACTCAAAATACGCTGGAACAGAGGTGGAATTTGATGGAGCAAGTCATCTCATTTTGAAGGAGGATGACATTGTTGGTATTCTTGATACAGAGGATGTCAGTGACATGAAACCTCTCAATGACAGGGTTCTAATAAAGGTTTGTTGTTTTTCTTTCCTCTCTCTGTACATTCCTCTCTTTTATGAGTCCCCCCACAAGGCTGCAGTTAACATTTAGGAACAACTTCATAGGAACCTTGTTGCGCTTCAAAGTCTGTCATATCAAAGTTAATGCTTTATATGATGACCTTGAATTTGCTAAATGCTTCATATTTACATGTTCAATATTGTTTTATTTGTTACTTGAATCATACTACAAAATGAAAAGTTTTGCATTGAATTTTCTGTTTAGGTTGCTGAGGCGGAGCAAAAAACTGCTGGGGGCTTGCTGCTTACTGAGGCTAGCAAAGAGAAGCCTTCTATTGGCACAGTAAGAATTTGTTGTTCAATGTCAATTTTCTAGCTAGTGGAGACCAATTTCCTATGATGAGCACTCTTATCCAACCTGAACATCATTTGTATAGTTTCACAGACATCCCACCCAAATGTTTGCTACTAGGGTATAATGCCAACAGTTAGATGACAGACTGTGTAACCTCTTTTAACTGCAAAATTGCAGAATAGCTGCTGCTTTAAACTAAAACAACAACATCCAAGCTTTAATCCCAAAAGAGTTTGGGATCGGCTAACATGAATTGACACATCAAGTTTCTTGCTTTTAACTAATTTAGTATTAATATTCAATCATCTAAGGTTAATGACATAGTGGCTTGTGTTACTTTAGTTGGATATAAAAGAACGTCACTGGCTGGTGGCGTAAGAGTACCCTTCTGGTATATGCATGACTGAGCACGACTGAAAAGAGAGCACTTGCTTTAGCTGACTTGTTGAGATATCTTTATAAAGCCAGGAGTTGCACATTTCATGATACTCTGTATTTAGGATTGCTTGTAAAGGCTGAGCCTTGATGATTCCTTTGATTGACAACAGGTTGTAGCTGTTGGACCCGGAGCTCTTGATGAAGAAGGAAAAAGGAAAAGCTTGTCAGTTAATCCTGGAAACACCGTTCTCTACTCCAAGTATGCCGGCAATGAGTTCAAAGGCACTGATGGATCTGATTACATTGCATTGAGGTCTTCTGATGTTATGGCTGTCCTCTCATAGTTGCATCACTATTCCTTTTTTACTTTCAAGGATCTTCTGATCTTTTTGGTCTAGAAAACTGGAGTTCACGCTTGAGATCAAAATATTAGCCATGTTTCTGTGAAGCACTCAAAGTGTAATTCATGTAATGATCTTTAGCAATTTTCTTCTTTATCAGAGTTTCCTTGCTTTTTTTTTGTTTTATCAAAGCTATTGCAGAAGCTTCAAGTCTTTATTGTTAGGTCTGTCGAGATTGCCACCTATAGGATTATCGAATCAGGTGTGGTACACAAAAATCTGGTCAAACTCTTGTAGTCTTGTCTTGGATAGGACTTTGACAGCTTCATGACTAGGTAGTTTTCGTGAGTTCGTTCAAGTTCTTAAATCCAGTAAATATTCTCGTCTTTTAAATTTTAATGGTGTGACATGGTGGAAACCATGTAAAAAACAAGTTAGCCATATACATTGTAGTGTGGTGGTGATGTGTTGGGGGCGGGCTCAGTTTTGCTGCTTTTAGAAATGCTGTTCCTGCTAAGATTTCCTGCCGACAACCACTCCAGAGTCCAGAGTCCAGCCAGCTAGTTTTGACTGGTCAATCATGGACGTGTATAGGCAGGGCAGGGCAGGACTGGGGACATGATTCCAGAGGCCGGCTTGAATTGGTCCAATCTAGATGCGGCTCTGAATCCTCTAAATTCAGGATGGACTAGCCATAACAATATAGAGTGTATATTGGTTGGGTTGTGACTGGATCATAACTGGGCCGAGGGGGTTGACTGCCAATCAGCTGGCCTAAACACGAACTGGACTGGTATTGATGTCCAAAGGGTGGACTGGTTTTGGTCCAAGATATCTGGTTCAATGTTTGGGATTTGGACTTTATTTTTTTAGTTCCAGTTATAGACTCATGAAATTGATGAAAAGAACATCAAGGATATTTATAAAAAGTATTCACATGAAAAGGGAACTAGTATAATCATTCTAAAAATTAATTAAGTAAACATTTTAATTTTTTTTTAATGACATGAGACTATTAGATAATTGTATGTAGGCTGTAGGGAAATAAAGAAGAGGATTAGGATCGGGGTTGCAACTTTTCCAATGTGAAACCATCTTTGGGCTAACAATTGACTAACTTCAGTTTCGTCTAGGTCCCATAAACATTAAAAAAGTTAATATATTAGAAATTTACATTAATACAAATTTATTAATATTTTATACATAATATTTTTATTATATACTCCCTCCGTCCCGCTAACAATGGGACAAGAGGAAGTGACACATAAATTAATAAAAAATGGTTTATGTGATTGATATTGAATTGATAAAGTAAGAACAAAGTAAGAATGATTTAAAGCCACACAAACTTTACCAAATTTGGTATGGAACAATCTTAGTGAGACGGGCCGATAAGATAAAATGGGACAATCATAGCGGGACGGAGGTAGTATATTATTAGAAAATCGTAGTCAAAGTAAGGTGTGTGAATAGTGCAGAAATTCCAATGTTGCAACTTTTATGAAACGGAGGAATATTATTGTATACTCAATAACCAAAAATGAAAAAATAAGCAATATATGATTTTGAAAAAATTTGCTAACTCACATGAGAATGTTTGGGGAAGTATGACTTAATTATACTAAGCAACGTCTGTTCATAACATACATAGGTTCATTATACGGCCTATCATGGCTTTAGTAAATGGTCCTTCCCGGGATTCAGGGCAAAAAACACCTTAGGAAGTGCATAAACCCCAAAAACCGGAGTATAATACAACTCCCTCTCTTTCTACACTGAAAGCAGCTTTACATTTCCTAGCAAGAATCATCATATGAAAGTGCTCCCAGACCTCCGTTTGAGTCTATGGCTCAATTGAGCAATATGATACAGTGGCTGGCTCCATTACTATCTTGAAAGGGGCTTTTTAACACTGGCTGCATGGCCAGTCCAGTTAGCTTCTCAATCTTTGAATACTTTCATATTGTTTTTAAAGAATGTGTAAGCAGTAACTTGTGTGTATAGTTTCATCATCTCCATGCACCACCACTGTCAGTCCCACTACAAGCTTGGTTTGGGCCTGGCCCAAGATCTCCATCCAAACTCATCTGCTGCACTTCTCCAGTTGACAGTATTTTTATGCTTTGTACACAACTCACAAATTCCCTGTTATAATTAAATTACTAGAGTTATGTGTGTATATACGTGCGGTGTGGTCTCACATGGGAATGTTTAGATTTGGTATGATTTTGGAAAAGATGAAAAAAGGAAGCAAGGTAAGACTTACTCCCAAGGATCATCACCAACAAGCAATATATCATTTTCGTGGTCTACATAGACAAGCTTCCAATCTGTTCTTTGAGGGTCTTCCAATTGTCCTTCGATCCCAAACATGCGTGCCAGATCCTGCCTTAGCTCATCATACCCCTTGTAACGTGTGACATCGATTGTTCTTCCTACGGATCCCCGCTTTTGAACCTTTCACAATTTAAGACTACATCAATTAAAGTCACATCAATTATCGAGTAATTTACTAATTCAAGACTACATCATATGATGTTTTACTAAATATGTCCAGCATCAATCTTTCTTTTTCACGCCCTTAATTTAATGGTCTTTATTAAATCAATGATGTTTTCTATCTATGACAAAGAAGATGGTATCTTATGAATAAATACCTTGTAGTCATGCTTGCGGAAAGTAATTATTATGTTTTAGTCTTATTTTGGACAATTACTTCATTGTTATTTTCTTTCAATTTGGAATAAAGATAATAAAAAGCATTGTACATCAGAAGAAAAGATAATTTGCAGAAAAGGCTGTTTATTTGTCGGAAGTAACTCAATATATTAGTTTTAGCTACTGTCCAAATTTATTCTATTTATTTATATTATACTAAGACTGGGAATTTCAAAGTATATACTACAAAGTACAATTTAATAATCTAATTATATTTCCTTTTCTTTAACATCTCCAAAGATGAAGACAAATACACAAAAAATTAATTTCTTTAGTATTTCATTCCCTTTCCCTAGTGTTTCCCTGCACCTAAAGACATGTTCAAATCAAGGAAACTGCCCAGAAAAGGAGGGAAACAAATACCAAGGAAGTTATCTTATCATGTTTGGCTTTACCTCGGAAAATGCAAAGGAAATATATGATATTGATGTGTAGATATATGAAAATATGTCCTAGTATTCACTTAAATAAATAAATAGAACCTGAATATCTACATAATCTATGCTTTGCTTCCCCTAAAATTTTATTTCCTGCTCATTTTCCTTTCTATTTTCTTTCCTTAGTAATTTTCAGGTCACAAATGTTCCTAACTCTTTCACTGCAAGTATCATTCTTTTTGTGGAGATAACAAAAGTATATTGTCTTGAGGAGGAAGACCAAACCTTGGTGTATGTTCTCATGCGTGGAGTCTGATTACTCCACAGACCCCCACCATTCAACACACTAGTCTCATTGTTGATAGCAACATCATTAGAGCACCCAGCTTTAAAAGACATATCTGGCAAACCAAATGACTGAGAATGAATCCCGGCACTTGACAGCTCCGTCTCAATATCCCTAGCAGGAGAATTCCCGTATGTTACGAATAAGTTTTGCATGTCCTTCCCAGAGTCGTAACCCCTCGACAACAAAGCATCCGGCGGAAGACTGTCGATATTAGCCACGGAAGATGGCATGCTGTTCCTAGAATTCGACTGGATATCCCCATCCAAACAGAATCCAGGCAAAGAGAAGTTCTGCTGGAGCCCACTGGCGTCCAAGCAATACGACGTCGCTGATGAGGTCGCCTCCAAGTTATTATCAGTTCCTTTTGAGACTATGGTGGATATCATGCGTTTTGACTGAATCTCATGTTTTTTTGCAGGTTCAACTATGGGATCGTCGTCCAGCAACACCACTGCAGGTGGTTGGTGGCTTCTGTTCAGGAAGTTAGACGGAAACAGCTGGCTGTTATTTGTGGAGGGTGAGGCTGACCGTAGGGAATTATTATCCCCGTCAGTCAGCCCAGAATGGGCGGCTTTGATGATACTCGGCAGCTTTTGCGGGCCTCGAGCATATTTTGGAGATTGTAGAAGCGGGGGAGGTTGTGAAAGCTGACGGTTAGGTTGTTGTTGGGTCAGAAGCGGGTCCGTGTTGGAGCTAACCGGAGACAAGAGTTGCTGCTGCTGCTGTGTTTGTGGCCTCTGCTGCTGCTGCATTATGCTTTGTTGAAGCAACTGCTGCAGTGGAGAAGCTTGTTGTAATTGTTGTGGCTGTTGTTGAGATGGCTGAAACTTCAACTCTTGAGGTAAGGATGTGTTTGGGAAGGCAGTTTTGATAGTCGCTTGGGGATTCATTGGGTACTGTATGTTTCCCATCATCAGTTGCTGCTGCTGCTGAGGGTGTACATTCTGGTTTTGTGGTAAATTCTGGTTTTGTGGTAAACTCTGATTTTGTAGTAAATTCTGGTTTTGCTGTAAATTTTGGTTTTGCAGTGAATTAGAGTTGACTACCCCGTTATTTAAACCATTAAAATTGAAGTTCTGTTGTTGTTGCTGCTGGTGGTTAAGTTGTGAAGGTTGTTGCTGGGCAGCTAAAGAATGCCACGTCGGAGATGGCTGCTGTTGTTGTAGGGGAGTGGTAACTTGCGGGTTTATTTGGTTCGGTTTGTTGAACTGAAGATTCTGTGGAGGGAAAGCTGGTGATTGGAAGTTCATCAGTCTGGACTGGTTTTCAGTTCCTGACAGATTCCCTTGTATAGAGCCGTTTTGGTTTAATCCGACAGGTTGGTTATTGTTCTGCTGCATGCTCATCCATTGGACTAAGCTCAACCCGGGAAACATTGAGCTTGAAGCATCTTTTATACCAAACTCATCCCCTATCCATGGCATCCCGCCTCCTCTTCTAAAAACGTTCTCCATATCGGGCTCGTCACCTGAAAAAAGCTATTCCTAGCATGAGAAAGGGTATTTTTGTCCTTATACATATTTGTTTCTAATTTCCATCATTTGCAATGGAGCCAAAGATTCATTATTTTTTGGCTTGAGATTATGATGGAATAAAGCAAAATGGCTCACTAAACTGTATGCGCTTCTTTGTTATGGAGCAGCAGTCGGTCCATGCAATTTTGGACGCGATTTTCACTATGGGTCATACGGAAACAGTCTCTCTGTGCTTTAGTACAGGGGTAAGACTGTGTACATCCGACCCCCCTTACCCCACCGTAGGTGGGAGCCTTTGCGACACGGGGTAAATGAAAATGACATTTGTTTCTAAATAGAGGCATTCTTCTCTTTTCACGAAATTTAGACCCAACTTTGGGCACAGCACACAAATATGTAACTTGGATAAAATACAATGACTAAAATGAGTACGAAAGTACTCTAATTAGATAAAATGTGCACAATGACTAAATACAATTTAGTTCTTGGAGTACAAAAGTACTCTAATTAGATAAAATGTGCACAATGACTAAATACAATTTAGTTCTAGGAGTACAAAAGTACTCTAATTAGATACAATGTGCACAATTACTAAATTAAGTTGAGTACCAAATTAAGGCCAACTGAAACCTAGAACCAAATTGAGTATTCTCGAGTCCCAAGAAAGATGCTTGTCTGACCAAGGTAATACCTTTTATTTTTGGCAAAATACATCCTTATGAGTCACAAGCGATATTCTCCTTTTCATTTTGTTTATCCCATTTTTCATTTTTATTCATCCCATTATGTTCGCCTCACACCTATTTGGCCATACTTAGTAGCTCACAGTCATTAATATCAACCACACAATTCCACTTTTTTGTTAAAATATATGTCATGTCTTTTGTCCTAAACATAAATGGGGAATACTTCATTTTAGATTTTTGTCTGTAGTGGTTTGCCTAAATTTATAAGATTAAATTATTTGTTACTCTATTTTGACATATTTTATGAAAATTTACCCTCATATAATCTCTATTTTGGGATATAAAAACCTTTCGAACTAGGATTCTTTTTAGGGGACTGGGAGGGTAATTATTAGCAATACAAGAGCAGAGTATCCAGTACAGTTGCCTACCAAGAAAACCCGGCTGTCTGGGAAATTTGGGTCTGAAAAATGGAGGAGGGCATATGTAGAAAGGAGTAACAACTGGTTCAATATCCCATATTGAAACTCTAGATGGGCGTTCCCCAGCTGTTGATTCATCCCATCCGATCTGCCCAACATTTATCCGGTTAGACATTGATAAATGAGAATACTCTACCACAGGTTTTTAGAGGTTTCAGTTGCTACAAAGGTTGTAGTTATATGTACCTGAAGATTACGCCACTGAGAGTTTTTCCAACGAGCAGGGTCGAGATCGCTGATACCAGTGATGGTCCCCATGTACCTTCTGACCCCAGACTCTTCAGTTTCAAACATCATCCTAAACCGCATGCCTAGCGATACTTGAGCATACATGGCTTTATTGTACTTGGCAAGTGGGATGACAAATTCACAAGGACTAGCCCTGGAGTTGGTTTAATCATAAAAGAACTCAATAAATAAATGGCTTGAATAACATGAATTTGTATTGCATAAAGTAAATAAAATTAAGGATGTTTACTTTAGGGAGAACTATCAAATAAGCTCTCAAACTTTCATAAAAAGTGCAAATAAGCCCTTTTACAGGAGGCTTTGTTCGGCTGTCGCCATTTTGGTCGGTTTCCGGTGGAATTTTTTAATGATTTTTATTTTGCATCTTCTTCATTACGTCTAGTTTATTCATACCAAATTTCAGCTAAAAATTCAATCGAGAAGGCAGACAAATGATTTTCTGAAACATACTGCGATGCCTAACAGCGCAGTTATCTTCAAAAATTCATTTGACTGCCTTCCCGATTGAATGTTTAGCTTAAATTTGGTATGAGTAAACTAGACTTAATGAAGAAGATGCTAAAAACATTTCATCAAAAAAATCCACCAGAAACCGCCCCAAATGATGACGGACGGACAGAGCCTCCTATAAAAGGGCTTATTTGCACTTTTTATGAAAGTTCGAGGGCTTATTTGATAGTTCTCCCTTTACTTTAATATAACTAAAATAGAATTCACAGACAAAATATGACTACATAGACACAGAAAATTCACCGTGATTGCAAGGTAAAGTTGAAAATCATTATAGTAACGGCAGTCACTGCAGTAATATACTAATACCACCGTGGTTACTTTTATTAAAGTCATACTCCTTCCGTCTCATTGGACTTTGCCGAATTTCCTTTTTTATTGTCTAAAAAACTTTATCATTTTCCTATTATAGCAAATAATATGTGGTTCTACCCATTTCTTTCTCCTCTACACAAACCAAAACTCTTACTTTTCTTTTTTCTCACCTAATCCGAAATTGGCAAAGTCCACCAGGATGGAGGTAATATTTTTGTCCACTATATTAATTTTAATCATAAGAGTAATTTATTTAAAAAAAAAATTACCTGGGATTGTAGAAAATGGTAAAAGGGCTATTGTTAGCAGCAGCATGTGCAGCAGCAGCAAGTATGCCAATGTGCATGCTATCACTGGATATGACTGATGATGAAAGGGCAGGTTGTTGCCGGTTAGCACGACGTATACCCAAGAGGAGCTGAGACTTTTCATCCCTATGTCACACTTTAATCAGCTCAGATGAAAATGATAGGGGAGTTTGTACTTTGTGTGTAGAAATCTTGGCTAGTTTTTTTTTCGGATTACCTTATGAAAAGGACAGCATCACCAGCACATAGTCTTTTAGATGACACAAAAACACTCCAACCTGTAGTCAATAGGTGCCTTTTCGGTTGCCCTAATGTGAAGCCAATGAAATTTAATTAGTCATAGAAAAAGCTGGTTTCAAAATTCTTCAAGGCTATATTTGGAACCTGGAAAATGGCAGGGAAATATTTTTTTCAGTTTCAGAAGTAGATAGATTTCATAGTATCTATGATAGAGAAACATATAAATGAAATTGAGATTGAACAAATATCTAAAACTGAGTGATCGAGTTTGAACAACTTCTTCAATTTCCTCGAAATTTCATTCCTTTCAAAATTTATCACTATTTTCCTGGGCATTTCTTGGGTCCCAGATAGACCATAAAGCTTCGTGTTTTTGAATCCGTATGAAGGAATAAATACATAATCATAAATAAGAGGTGGGCTGTTTTTAAAAGTTAATCAATTCAAGAACCTAAGAAGTAAGAACAGCTTTTAGGAATTCTGCTAAACGCCTTGGCGACTAAGTCATTCGATGTCTATATTTTAGTCCCTTAATAGTTCCCGGTTTTGCAATATAGTCCCTGAATATCAATTGGTCCAATGCAGCCCTTAATTATTACACAAAGTTGTCACTTCAGTCCCTGACATCACAATTATAGAGCCATTCAACTGGGACATCTTTTGCATTTCCATATAAGCTCATGTGCACTCTTTCATTTTCTCTTGTCAATAGTAATGTTAGCATGTCTGGAATAGGACGTGATGGACTGAATTCACAAATCATTATACAATTGAGGTCTTTATACAATTGAGGAGCTGAATTTCACAAAATAGATAATAAGGGACTGGGGGTTGCAGAACCGGGAGCAAACACACACACACAAAAGAATATGGTTATGTATACTAGTATATATACTAACCAAATACGATAACCAAATATGTATATCTATATATCCATTGGTGTGTATCAAAATGAAGACATTTCTTGCTTTATGCATGGAAATACCTCGATATATATGTCGAAAGGTCCATGTTTGATCATGCAAGTCTCTTGATACTATCTCTTGAGCAGGAGGTTGCATTGAGTAATCCTATCCCCACAAAAAGAAAAACTAAGGTAATAAACCAAACTAGAATTTATCGGGTTCGCACCATTTCAAACATTTAAACTATTTGGTTAATACCAGAGGTGGGAATATCTTCTCAGCAGCCCGGCGGGGAACTGAAAAACCACCATGAGTGCTAGTATCACTAGCTGTCAGTGTCTTGCAGAAGAACTCAGAAGGTTGCCTGTTTTGCTTTAAGCCCATATCTGATATAAGCAAAGCTTCCTGATCATACTGTAGATACAATTTGTTATTGGAATATCATATCTACAAACACTTTAGAAACATCATTTGTCTGGAAACACTTGAAAAATATCATATCCAGACACTTAAATTAGTTGACCTACTTTGTTTACAGGTTGAAGAGTCATCTGAGCATACACCTCATCAGATTCAGTATCAGCCTGCATAAAAATAATGGGATTTCAAGGATCAGATAAATATTGGAATCCCCCCCTTCCCCACCCATCTTACCCAAAAAAATGTAAAAAATGGAAATTGGATTCCTTTGGACTGAACTAAGTGCCCGTGAATCCGTGATTGCCATTTGTTTCCCGGATTTATGAGCTGCACTTTTTACCTAACGTTATTCTTTGACTAAGCAAGCTGAATAGGTTATTAATGAAAAAGAGTCGTTGAAGTTGTTGGACATGATCATTTTAGCTTTTCCGCATTAACCCCTTCAATAAAGTAATTAAAATATACTTTTCATTATTCAGCAACTTCATCAGTATCAGCCACAATCCTAACAACTTCAGCATTTTTATCCAAATTCACCGATGCCTAAACTCTATATCAATGGGAATTAGATTAATTGACATTTGGAATGAACTGAATTCGCCCAATTCATGGAGGCTAAGCAAATCCCATATTAAAGTGGAGGCAGGCGATGCCTTCATTTTCGGGAATTCTCAAGAATTGAGAAAATCACAAACATGTTCATACGAAGTGATTTTCCAGAACAGGGGAATTCCCGGGATTTGAGTGACTATGAAAGCTCACATGTAAGGTGACATTGTGAAGCATGCAGATCAATTTGGAGGGAAGGTTTGGATAGTTTGGAATTCCATCAGTCTCTTTTTGCATTGATGCTGCTACCTGAGAGTTGTTATCATATATCAAACAATACAAGATTAACTTCATCAGATATAATGTTAAAAAAACTTTTTATAAAAGAATGGAGAAGAACTTCATATGCAGTTCTTAGATCATCTTGTTCAATCAAATGGAAGAAATTCAAAATTACTTGTTCACTGTGGCCTTGCGGAAAGTACACCACAAGGCTTCCCACAGCTGGCAGAGAAACTAATGGACCGGCACAGGCATGCCACAACTCTGAATTTATCAACTTTCTCTCTCCTAATTCATCACCCAGAAGAAAAATAAAATGAAATTTTAGCAATTTGCAAGAAAAATATGCACTAGTGTATAGCAGAAAAAAAGAAAATAAAAATCAAGGTGAAATAAAGAAACACCTTCCCCTGGATTTGCAATATACCCATTCGATGGAATCTTCATTTCTGGAAAAAAGAATATGATGAAACCGAAATTTATGCTAAAGCTTCTTTACTTTCTTCAATCAGACACTTTCCAACCGCAGTAAAAAAAGAAGAGACTCACTGGTACTGTGTTGTGCCTTTACTTCTCAGGAAAGGCCTCTAATTCCTAAATGAGCCCCCAAGTCAAAGGGGTCTCAACAAACAAGCCTTTCTGCTACCTACAAACTTCTTGAGAATGTTGAAAGAAAGCTGTAAATTCCATAGATTTTCTTTGGGTAACCTAAAGTGGTGCCAAAGTTGAATCTTTTCTGTCACCTTGATTAGCTCCCTGTTCATTCAAGGCTCCTCTTTTTCTCTACTAGACTACAAGATCATGTGCTCAGCCGCTTGCGGCGGTGGAAAACGGCTGAGACTGGCCGGGCAATCAAGAAAAGAACAGGAGGGCGGGTAAATTTTCCAAAAAGTAGAGAAGCTACAGCTGCCAGGTAAAGGGCAGCGTAGCAATCGAGATCAGGGTGGTGGAATGGTGGGGAAATCTGTAAACTTGCCGGAAAATCTGACGCCAATGAGCGGGCAGCTGCTTTATAGTGAAAGCCAATACCCGCTACTTCCCATTATGATTATGGTGTATTAATAACGCCGGCAGGCAATTTATTTGGACACATAAAATTATTAATAATTAATAATGTGTTTGTGCTTATGTTTACTGGGATTAGTAAGGTGATTATGAGTGTGGTAGAAGAGAACAAGCCGACAGGGAATGGATTGGAGATGGTTAAACAAAGAAATTACACTGCCGTGTTTGGCTCCCCCATGGCATATTCACTGTTATTCCACGCCCCTCCCTAGAATCCAAATATAATTTCAAGATCCCTCGCAAGTCATTGGGTTGGTAGCAATTGATTGACATTGCCAAGATTTTTATTCTCAGTTTAATTGATGGTCATCAAACACAATCTGTAAAATTTATTTCAATTCCACAAAAGATCGGATAATTTTAACATATTGGATGAGATCATAGTGCTGAAACACCATATTAGAGTATTAGACCATAATAGAGTGATTTTTTTTGGTGAACTTTCTAGTTATAGTATTTGTTCAATACTTCAATGTTAAATGTCAAGTTGTCAACATCCTTAACTCGGATAAGTTTTGAACCTGTCAATTTCTCTGTAGGAGTGTCACACCGATACCATCGAACCACAAGGTGCTTGGTGACCATAATAGACTTACTGGTTATACTTCAGTTTTGTACTTTGAGAATTGTGTTACACATGAGTAAAAATAATGCGGTGAGTACTCCGTATAAAATTTTAAAATATGAGTAATATTTATTTTTCATAAAATACGATAATTACCGGTATGCTCGGAAATAGTGACGTGATCAAAGTTTTGTAAAAGGGAGCAAAATAGAAGCTAATATTTACTCCATTCGTGTCATTTTAATTGTCACTATAAGTTTTCCATAGTACGGAGTATAACATAATGCTATATGTTTACAATAAACAATAACAAATGTAAGGATGTTTTTACTTGGACCGTAATTCTTCCCAGACCAGACCAGACCAGACCAGATCAGACCAGACCAAACTAGACAAGACTTGAATAGTTATAAAAATACAAAGAAACCAGACCAGACCAGATCAGCAAATTACACTCCAAGTAAAAACATCCTAAGACATTTTTGTTATGAGTATTACTCCCTCAATCCCAAATTGTAAAATACAGTTATTATTCTTAATCTTTTATTTTATATATCAAAAGTTTATGAAATTTGAATTATTTTTTGCAGGTTTTGTAGCAATTTTAATTTAGTTTCTGAATATATAAATTTTATTTTCTAAAAGTAATTTGAGTGTTGACAGGGATCAATTTGCTTTATCGTCAGTCAAACATCGTAAATCGTAAAGTATCTTAAAAATTGGGACTGAGAGAGCATATACTTTATTAAAATGTACTATAGCTGCTTTTGGAGTAGACTTCTTTCTCGAAAATGAATACAAGACAACTATATTGATTCAAAGGGAGTACATTATAGTAACTCCAAATGTGATAAAACAGTAAAAAAGTAATTAGTTATGAACATAATTTATACTACGTAGTTAATTGCATATCTTTTTTTATCGTCAAAGTGGCTTTAAATTAATAAAATAGCATTCAGCAGGGGTACATGATAACAAAAGGACCACATGTAACCATCCGTCTTGGCCGAGACTCTGAGTTAATCACCCTTGACAAAGCAATATAACTCGGTAGACCTAAATTGGGCAACAAAAAGCCATTGATGATTACCGTAGACCTCTCATCCCCCAAACCTAATGCAAGAGTCTTACAGCATAAAAGAAAATAACAACAAAACACAAACGTCTTAACTTGGAAATTAAAATGCAGAAAAGATAAGTAAGCAAACTCCAAAATGCGTCGATTAACCCTTGGCGGTGGTTATGGGGGAGGCCGAACCCTCACAACGATTGTTGTTGCACCAAAGCGATTTTCCTCCGACTCGACCGCCCCTTCTTCATCATTGTTGTTGCACCAAAACGATTTCCCCGGGCGCCAAACAGATGACATCAGATCTTCGAACCCCGAAAGGCCTATCTTCCGGTCCGTAATCACGGCGTCGACTTCTCCTGACATGGAGATCCCCTCCCTTCGTTCGTCCCCTGCATCTTACTTTTTGGCCAAACCCAAGCCGCGGCCGAGCCCTTCCGACGAAGCACAGACCACTGCCGTCATTCGCCTTCACCACAACCTAAGCACCGTTCTTCGTTAAAAAACGAAAACGGGAAACGAACCTCAGCGGTGATAAGTCCTAGGGAAGAAACGAGACCCCAGTTGCGGTAAGCCCTAGGGAAGAAAAAATCTGCGTGGTTTCAATTCTTGTTAGCCTCATCTTCGCATACGAGTATATGGCTACATGGAAACATGATGAGGCTAGTTAATTGCATATCTAAATAGTTCATTACTGCAACCTCAACTAATCAATTATTCCACGAGTTCTCATATTTTGAAAAATAATCATAATAGTTTCATTATAAATACTTTTAAAATTCTCTCTCGATGCCGGACAATAAGCAATTCGTGAGTAAGTCGACTCTGAAATAATATATATTCATCGCAGAGAAGACTTTTTCAGATGATGCACCGCGTAAAAAGAATTGAGAACTCTAATGTCAACTATCTGTATACAAACTTCAATGTCGGGAAATACTTGGTTTTTTCTCACTTCACACGCACACATATTCATACTTGAAGTTGTTTTTAAGTTTCATTTGATCAACATGCAATTTAACAATCGAGTGAATATGAATCTTCAGGATCAGGACATGTTACGCATGTGAGTAATAATGTATGGACTCACTAAAGCGATTCCCCATCTTGATATTAATAAGATCAACAACCCACAATGGAATCATAATATTTACTTTATTACTAAGCGCTCAATCCATTAAGCTTACCTCGCAAAACATGAATATAATTCATGTATGGATATCCATTCCGGTCAAGAGTCTCCAATCCAGTAAATTTAACTCGCATCAACATGTCCTTGACCTCTAAATTTTAGCAAAAATTGTCACAAATGCCGCTTTTCAAAGAAAGTGCAATGGTGTCAACAACATGTTTAATTCTTGGGGATCGCTCCATCACAAACCTGTGGACGTTTACACATCTCATAACATTTTCCATTTTATCCAATATATATAGTTATAGTTTTTATCCAAATAAAACATAAGAGGACACTAATTTTATCATAAGCACTAATTTTATCCCATAGTTAGATTCGATGTCAGAAGCAAGGCACTTGCCCCTCGTCCCCAGGTCCTCGAGTGATTGGAAAATATTGTAAATTATGGTATGCCTCACAATATCAAAATACAATAGTATAATTTAGCCAACTATAATTCATTTATGTTTATGGAAAATTTATGTTTATGGAAAATATAGTACACACATTTTGAAATTTCATATTGCTTTATTCTTATTTTGAGAAACTTCCTTTAATGTTTTACTATTTGAGTTTTTTTCCGAATTAATGTTAATTATTTTTTTTTTTGCGAAATTAGGGTCGGGTTAAAACTATTTACCAAAATACTGCTCGATCTAACCATGGTAGACCAAAGTTATGGACCTTTAAAGAAAAAAAGAGATTTTTGTATCATGGGCCCCATACTTATTTCCTTTCTATTCATGCTATTGTTGCGTGCTACATATTTCGCAGGAGAGAGTCGTCCAACGAGTTTGCGACTTCAAAGTCGCCACTTCATTTGGCGACTTTGGTCTACCAGGGTTAGATCCAACAGCATTTTGGTAAATAGTTTTAACCCGACCCTAATTTCATCAATATTTTTTTAATTAACATTACTTCGGAAAAAAACTCTTACTATTTCTACTACTCTAATTATTATGTTATTGCTATTCTTTAAATTATAGTTGTATTTGTATTTCATTTTCTTCTTAATATTATAAACTAAAAATGATTACTATTTACATATTAGGAAAAAATTATCAAAATAAAAAAGTGTAATAAATAGTAAAATATTTCAAAATTAAAAAGAGATATATTACAAGTAAATTAAATATATATGAGGAGAGTATATTGAAAAATGAGTTTCTTTTTTTATTTGGCAAACATGAAAAATTGAAATGAAATAATGATTTGAAAGATATGATTGCAAACAGTGGCGGAGCCAGAGATTTATCAAAGAGGATGTGTACTAGTGGCTAAAGTGTGCAATTGACCAAAATATAATAAAAATAACAAAAATGTAATAAGTCAGGTCGTCAGCACAAGTTATAGTTCATTACATACTATTTGATTCATTTCTATAACATTGGCAAATCAATCCTATAAAAATTCATATGTTTAAAATGTTGCATAATAACTTCATATTGGGTAAGTACGGCCACCGACCTCTTATTGTATCATGAACTCATATGACTCATGTACACTTTTCTACACACTTATAACACAAAGATTCAATCTGATAATATCACCTTCTATTATACAATTGAAATGTACACGAGGTATTTTACAAGTAAACGAGTAGCTCACTTCACTGTTTGTATATGAGATTACTTCATTCTACCTCACTCGGTCACACTCACTTATGAAATGCCTTTTGGATTGTCTCCACCTCTCACTCTCAAGAATCCTCTTCACTAGCTCACACTCATCGAGAGACATCTTGGGACCTTTTTTCTCACAAGAAGGCCCTCGCTCTTCTCCATCAAGAAGACTATCACTCTCATTCACATAAGCGCTCCCGTTAAGGTTCTCATATAAATGAGGAGTCTGACCCTTGTTTATACTAATCTCAGCAAGGCTTCTCTAAAACTTCATATACACCACTACACTTCTAGAGAACTCCAAAATTCTTTAGAACATTCTTTTCTAAACAAGCCTTTCAGATTGTCTTCCGCACAATATCACATTGTTTTAGAGAATTCCACACTTTTCTAGAACATTTAATACTTCTCTACACACATATAGAGAATTATGGACATCTCATAATATTTTAAATTTCTCATGAGCTTCTCAACTAAGGAGAGAAGCTTACACTGCATTGGTGTTCTTTTAACCAATCACATGATCTCTGAAATGTTTTGATCTTTTCGTTGCAAGAAGTATGACAACGTATTCAGCAATCTCAGTACTTTCTTGCTCAATGTGACTAATAAAAGACAACCATGTTGCCAAAAAAATGTAAAACAATCAACAATAGTGTAGACTGATGCACCAAATACGTGTATTCATAAAGACACTTTTGTTGAAAGACTTTGTCTTATATTTGAACACTTAATTTAAAATTGACCTTAACTAGTAATTTTATTTTTTAAAGAAGAGGGCATCAAATATATTATAAGTAGTAGTAT